TAGATGAGTTCACGTTGCCATTGGGCTGATACTCAAGATGTCCTTCAGACAAGTAGCCACTACTTGTTGAAGATAGAGATGGAGAGGGTGCTGGGATAGACGTATCATCTTTTGACGCATTTGTTCCATTTTAGCTTGTTCTTCACTTTCCAGTTAGATCCGGCATGCTTCTATTTCTACGTCTTATTAAACCACCCATCAAAAGCTTTCTTCTCACTTTATGTTGCTTTTTACCGGCCTTTTCTTTGTCTTTGTCTACTTTTTCTTCATCTTTATTTCTACGCAACAAAGTGTCCTTTGCGTTGGCTAACGATTCTGATTTATCTGGCATAACCGATAAATCAGATTGTATTTTGCCGCGATCTTCGCTTCTACTACGCTTGCTTTGATCCTTTTGGCGTCCAAATAAACTTCTACTTGGCCGTTCATTTGAGGTGTTTGCCGGGCTCTGTTTTTCATTTGCTTGATTCGCTTGTGAATTACTCGGGCTTACTGGAGGTGTTAATAACTTATTTCTCTTGGGTAATGTGGCATAAATTTCAATATTCTTCACTGCACCATTTTCAGATGACTTAGTTTCTTTCCTGAAAAACTGTGGTAAATTACCCGTTGCGATCTGATTATTGGATATCTGCTGACTTTGTTGACAGGTTCGCTGTTAACATGCGATTTATTTGAAGAATTTTTATCAATGCTATCTCGTGAGTTCTGCCTCGAGTGATTGCTTGATGCACGACCACTTGTCGAACCTGAAAATTTCGAGAAAGTATTAGAATTGCAAGTTTAATACACTGAATATAATGCAAATAACAAAAACAGATTAAATGAAGAAATTATTGTAAGTGTTAAGAATGATGTAGTCCCTATGTTCACCTGATGATTTATCCTTCGAACTCTGCCTAGAATGTGATGGTTGTACTTTTCCAGCAGGTTCCATCCTTTTCTGTAAACCTCTGGCCCTCATGACACATGTGTTGTGCTTCATACGGGCTCGTGTCATGGCTCTTGGGTTGCTGTAAGGTGCATTCATCGCAAGTCTAGCCTGTGAACTGGCTCTGGAGCACAAAGACAGCGCTGTATTCAGGTCTTGTGCATCTTCAGCTCTCCTACTTGCTTCTAAAAGTCTCTCAACCTCATCACACAACTGCTCGCAATCAAAATTCAAAGGAGATTGCATATCATATTGTTCAGGAATTTGGGCCAGATTTGGAGACTGCATGTGGCTGGACTTAGAGTTGGAGCATGTTGACATATGAGAAGATGAATCGGTTGAAGACAAGGAATATGAATCATATCTGAAAAGACAAATATGTGATAAGTAACATAATGATTATTGACAAAATATAAAATATCAACTACAAAATAATTAAAAATTAAATCTTTTGCGCATCTTACCCCTGGTCTAATCCTAGTTGATTCATACGTTTTCCTCCGTTATTGCCATTACCATGTAATCCATGGAAATTTAGCATAGCGGCTGGATTATTACCACATTCTGTAGCTGTGGTGGAAGAAGCGCTAGATGCGGAATTTCTATCTCCACTCCAATTTCCAGAATCCCTCCTTCTCGGCAAATTCATAGCGATATGTTCAGGTAGCGACAAATCGCTGGGCGATAAGCTATCACCACCCTGTGAAAGAGTTTGTATAGCCGATTGATTTAATCCAGTTTGGGGCATATGATTCATAGTTTGAGTGTTAATTTGTTGATTTGATGATAGTTGATGGTTTATTGAATCTCGTCTCCTTGCCTGATTCGCATCATTCAGAGTATCGTTTATTGATGATAAATGAGATAACGCCTGATTCACACCATTCTGTTGATTTATATGCGCAGTATTTTGCATTACTTGGGCTTTTTCTTGTTGGCCACTGGCGATTTGAGAATGATTAATATTTTGACCAGTATACCCTTGCTGGATATACGACTGATTCAAATTCTGTTGTTGCATTTGATTCGTGTGCTGTTGTGCCATGTGTGGTAAGGAAGAACCGGCACTTAGCGATCTGTGCAAACCTCTAGATTGTGGGCCACCTGAAAATAAATTAAAGATTAAATAAATGGGTCAAGATTTTTATTTAATTTGTTTTCTAGCTATATTATTTACCATTGGAGCTCATAGCCTCTTGAATAACAGTCAAGTTTTGATAATCGTTCTGAGGATTTGGAGCCAGTTGACTTCTATTTCCTACAACGGGAGTAAGGCATCTTCGCATTTGCTGTTGCTGAACTGTCATAGTGTTTCCACCATTTACCATAAAAGCCATCCCTTTGTCCAAATTGCTTGGGGTATTTGCCCTGATCATCGACGACATCATAGATCCATTATGGTGCATTTGTCCATTAGGAACTTGTGATCCGTTGCTTTGATTATGTGAGTTTTGCGAATAATTTTGGGAAGGCATTAATTGGTTACTCTGTGGTCCATTTCCAATTAAATAATTTGAATTATTCATGTTTTGCTGCACAAAATTATTGCTGTTTACAACCATATTTGGATTAGACATAGCTTGCATGTAATTCTGATTTGCCAACAATTGGGCAGTGTTCAATTCGTGCTCTGGCAGTTTGTTGATAACGTTGTTTGTATTTGGAACTGAACCTTTGTTGTTGGAGGTACTTTCAATAGGAGTACCATTCGGATTTGCATAAAGCAGCAAAAGTGGCTGGCATCTACCTCGCTTGCAGCGTTCGACAACTTGCTCCCAATGTGGACCGATTTCCTAAAATAAATTATTAAGTAAAAATGCGTGTTCAAACTGATGCGAAAAAACTTGATTAGATGAAAAAAGTGTAATAATAAGAAATCTCAATTACAGAAATGTAGACCAATAATTAGTTGAAATTATATAAAGTAATGCAATAATTGGCAAAATATCTGGACATAATAATAATAATTAAAATATGAATATTTTAATAATACGTTTATCATAAATCTAACCCACTCAAATACAAAACACGGTGTTTTAAAAGTCATTAGCTTGTCAATAAATAATAATTCACGTTGAAACAGTAATCAATTAATATCAACCCACCTGCACGGTAGCATCGTCAAAGTAAACCCACACTTTTAGCTTCGTATGGAAGAAGTAAGTTGAATAGTGTTTCCCGTAATAAGCGACAACTCCAACGAGAGAATGGCTGGTATTTCTAGCCCAAGCTTGATGAGCACACCAGTGGAAAACATCACCAGGACGTAGATTGGTACCAACAGCGTCCAATACTGCGGCTACATGTTCTTGGGTCGGATTGGCCGAATCCCAGACTACTCCCACGGAAATTATATCTGGAGTATTAGTTAACGTGCGGTGTATTTGAATTTTGGCACCGCATGTATTCTGTAATAATAAAACATAATTAGTTACATTGATATATTATCGTGGTAGTAACGTACCACTATAATATACGTTTGAGAGTAAAAAAATATAGAGATAAGCATTATTTCTATTAGGATGTCATTACCAATTAGTATTCCTATCCTATCAAGGAAATTTATTTCCGCTTTTAAAATGGGTTCATCAAAATTACTCAATTAAAATATACAAAAGCATGAGAAAAGTGTAAGAAAATTATAATATGTAAAAAAATCAAACGATTACTGAATCAATGTGTATATGTCTGAAAAGGAAGATCATAAAAAATAGGAACTGGAAGTCCGGCGGACATTAACTCTGCTCATTTGTATTCATACACATACAAAAGCATATCAATGAGTATTAAATCTTCAACTAGATTAAGAAGAGTTTAGTAATCAGATATGATGTGTATAAATTATACAAGGTATGATTTAACAAAATGTGAATAACACTGCGTAACCAGTGCAAATAGTAAACTCAATTTCTTCTTTTATGACATCCGCTTCAAGGCACGCGCGTTTCCTCTACCAGTACACCTCGTTTATTTTTTCTTGATGATAATTGCATAAATGTAACGCGTACAGAATTATATCTGCTACATTTCACTTAATGACATGCCTAGGAGGCCCTTGATGTAACCGATAGTAGATTCCTAAACATATTTTCCTAATTTGATACTAGTGAAATATGATAAATATCTTCAGTGGATCGAAAAATTTCACTCATTCATTTCATTTCATAAAAAATCAGTAGGTACGTGGATAATTAATTTCAATTTATTCCAACCAAATTAACTGCATCCTATGGTCATATCCGTTTTCTGATTCTTATAAAATGTAAAGCATATTATAAAGCAAATCATAGCTAATTATTTAATTAATTTGCCCTTATGTATATATGCGGAAACATGTTACTACTTCCTGCAAAATCTACATATTGAAACTATGCTCTAGTAAAATCACTTAATAGTTAAAATACGGTATAAAATCAAGACTTGAACGAATTGAGAAATAATATTAATAAATCGTTAATTATTATGCTATACACTGATTGTTTATCATATAAAATGATAAAAAAACGATGGTTAAGTGAAACAATTTTAAAACATAACTAATTACACAGGTTGACAAAAAAAAATGCGACATATGGTTTCTAATGTATTTTTTACTGCTAAAGAAGAAACAAAAGTGAAAATTAGGGTCAAATGATAGAAAATTGATTTGTTTTAAGAAAACGGCAAAATCTCCGATGTAGACATTTTTCTGCGTGATAATCGAAATCCCATAATTTCTGGCCTTTCCTGTTTTTTTTAAATCCTTAAATAACCTGCGAAACCTTGAATAACCTGTTGAGCATCTTTTTGCAGCTTCCAGCAATAATTTGCCATCATATTTACCCTCCATGGCCTCTATATAATCTGCAAAGGTTGTTTGAAGTTGTTGTTACCTCAAAATATGTTTGAAAATTACTGCTGGAAGTTGCAAAAAATACTCAACAGGGATGATAAAAGCGCTGCAGATATCCTTTACAGACATCTTTTAAGGATTAAAGAACCAGAAAATGACATGCATTATGAGATTTTATTTATCATGGAGAAAAAATTCTAAAATGGTGATTCTGGCGATTTTTATTTTTTTTTTCGATTTCCTGCCATTTGACCACCAATTTTAACTTCGGAATTGTGTTCAGCGATAAAAAATAATTGCGTACAAATCTGTGAAAATTGGCTATTTCAATTGCAATTTTAGAAAAAAATAAAACATATTCTCTAATTCCACAATGTTTAGTAATTTGGAAAAATAAACAAATAATAAATCTAGAAACAAATAATAGATCTCAGGCGTGCCTACATGAGCTGGTTGAAGAATTTCACTGCCTTGTATTAAAGTTCACTAATATGCGATAATAACGCTTTTTAGATGTTCAAAAATATTAAACAAGAACTCGTTTCGCAAGTCGCCTACCCAATCCAGCTAACTTTTTTTAGTGGTCCTGGTGTTATGGTATATTAATCATTTCAAGTCAATTTACTTCTATTTTTACTCCTACTGCAAAATCAGGAATTCGAAAACTTGGTTTGTAATTAATGCAAATAATTTAAATAAAAGTTATAAAAGCATTATGATGTTTAAGTTAGTACTTTGCACTTGAAGGCCCTATTCCATGAAGTTACACTACTGTATGAGCCAGCAAGCCGCCCAAGTATTTGTTACACAACATATTTTCCAATCCATATCAAGGAAAATATATTCAAAGATTTACAATATTGCTTCTAAAGATTTGAATATTACCATAACAAATTAGAAATTTTAATAATTTAATTCGGAGTAGTAACTTTTGAAGCAAAAGTTGACACACTCGATGTCGTCTATAGACGGCAATCGTAGGAAAATGGTTAATATGGATTACAAAGCAATATATTAGTTTAATTGGTAAAAAACTATCACAAATAAAATAATTTAAAACATTTTAATATTAACTTGTTAGAAAACAAAGATAAATATAAAATTATGAAACCACTGTGTGTCTTACCGGACAATCTCTAATATCTCCCATTCCTCCTGCAGCACGAAGCAGCAGTCCGAAAGTGTTTGACCCATTCGCATTGTTCGTGCAATTGTTTGCGCCGCCAGGAACAATATTGTTTCCTTGTTGGCGAAGAGCGCGATGCTGCGAGGTCACGGCAGATGCGCTCACGTAATGCACCATCTATAAAGAGAAAATGCCAGAGTTCACAATCAGTACGAGGATAAATATAAATAAAAATTCACTTTCCTGATATTAATCAGTGATACTTGAATATAATACTTATATGTCGCCACTTTTTAAACTCATGTTCAATGAAAAGAGCTAAAAGAAATCAAGATGGTCCCATTGATTGATGGTTTTTCTCATGCATTTTGGGAACCTAGTCATTGATATCCATAATTGTTGCAATTAAAATCAATTAACTTATGCCAGTACAAGTGAGTTCGATCAACATTATTGCAATAATCAAGTGTTTTGTGGAATTTTCATTAATTATTATTAACTTCCCATGGGGTAAGTTATAGTAATCGCAAAAAAATCGAAAATGAAAATTTTTATATATCTTTACGTTTCAAAGGTTTCTGAATATTTTGGCATACCTTAGAAAAAATGGATGTATCCGTATGTGTGTGTATGTGTGTGTGCGTGCGTGTGTGTGGGTATGTGTGTGTGCGTGCGTGTGTGTGTGTACGGATACAAATTTTCGTCGACAATTTCGGGAACACCGATCAACCGATTTGAATAATTCAAAAAACATTCGATTCGTATTGATAAGGAGACGTGCTGATTAGTTTTTGGCGAAGGCAGGTCTAGCCGTTCCGAAGATACGGGGCCAAAAGTGCCAAAAATGGTAACTCACTTGTTAAGAGAACGGAGCGTCCGATTTTAATAATTCAAAAAACATTTTACTTGTATTAACAAGATGAAGAACTGAACAAATTTTCATGAAGGCAAGTCTAGCGGTTTCGGAGATCCAATAAAAAAAGTAAAAAAAATGCCAGTTGACGGTCAAAAATGATCATTAGACATATGCACATCAAATTACCAGATATTTTATAGAGATTTTAACAATAAGTATAAATTTTTACATTCCTATGGGTTCCGTACCAATGTTTATCCGTTAGACGGCGACGCGGCGCTTACGCGCTTTGGCATTTCGTCTCTATGCAGTTAAAGCAGTACGATTGCTTTGAAAAAAAGTTAAGAATTTCCAAAAAATGTCAAAATAAAGAAAACATTTTTTTTCAATAATTTTTTTTTTTTAAAAAAGTAATTTTTTGTCAAATTTATAGTTTCTCAAAAATCTAATTTTTTCGAAGTAAAATGTTTTCAAAAATGTTAATCGTTTTTAAAAAAATAATAATTTTTGGTACGGGAAGTTCCAGCAATTTTCCTTATGGCACGATGCCATGCGCCCCACTAGTTTTTGTTCAATTTCGGACAAGATGACATACTTATGGAATGGATAAAATGGCACAGTAAAATTGCCGAATAAAATAATTGATTTTTTTTTTCAAATAATTAAAAAAAAATTAAGCAAAATGAGGCACTTAGATCAGATGTTGAACAATTATAATTGAAACATTATACCAGTATTCAATTTTATTTTAAATTACTGGAATCATCTTATAATATAATATACCTAACAGAAGTTCTCTTTCTCTAATATTTTGTAGGCAATGGTTTCAAGTGAAGCATATTTAAATTTTCGTCATAACATATATCATTAATCATTATTCCCAATATTTCATCAAACAATAAATATTAAGCAAATCTAAGATACTATTTATGATAAGAGGCGAGTACATAGCACTAATCACATTCTAATGATGTAATGTGGTCCATGGCCAACGGCATACTTTTTGCCGTTGTGAGAAAAGTTCTTGTCGTTGTGAATAAACGTCATGCCGAGCCGGCGGCAACCAAAAACAACAGCAAATTGTTCAAATAACCAACATTAATAACTTCTTGAAGCATTTGTTTTTTACCTTGAGAACCAAACCAAAATAATAATAGACAAATGCAATATATTAATATTAAAATCAGGAACTGTGAACAGGTTTTGAATGGAAGTTGTGAGTAGTATTGATAGCTTTGTTAATTATTTTCATGAAATTATTATTTTATATTCTTGTATCTGATGCATCAGGACAAGTAATCGATGCATAACTGCGTACAAAGAAAAACAAGATCTACACGATCTAAGATATCTTATATTTGGGTCTGATATCTTGGATTCAGCAATCAGATTTGAGCTTGAGTATGATATCAAATAAAAAGATATAACATTCAAGATTGTTGCTAGATCAAGTTGTTTACAAAAAAGATTCTATATCAATTTTATTTGACTAAAGTATGGGCTCGCCCGTAGGTAAGCGGTTAAGAGCGACGGGACCCGTGTATCGAACCCAGGACCAATCGAAGGTCCCGGGTTCGATACACACTTCGAGCAGCCTGTTGTCAGGCAGCAGTGACAACGATTTTCACTTGGAAATATAGATAGCAATATATTTCCAAGTAAAAATAGCCCTTGCCCGGCATTGTTGCACCAATAAAAAGTCAGCCCTATTAGATTAAATCCAATAACAAAAAATCATCAAATATGGATGGATTAATCATTGGGTTACCACCTAAAAAATACGAAGAAAGGAGAAGTTTCAGCCCAACAGCTCATAGAACGTAAGGTTCTGATTGCTGTTAAAATATATTAAAAAAAAAATTGACTAAAGTATACAAACTTATGTTTGGTATACCCATAGATAAACAAGTATAAAATATGAGTATGGGTCAAATAAGTTGATCAAATATGGAATGGTTTCTATCATATATACTAAAGATGGGGATAGTTGCAACTTTTAAAGCAATGTACATGAGTAAATGTAAAAAAATCAATCAAGAGTTAATGTCACAATTTTAATTAATAAAATTTTATAGCTTTTGACCGTTAGATGGTAAATCAATTAAATTAAATTAAGTGGTAATCGATTCTGAAGTCTGGTGGTGTTCATATTAACAAGAAATAATACTAAACACAAATAATCAAAAAGATGGTTATATTAAAAGATATTTACAATTTGTAAAAAAATATCGTGATCTATTCATTTAAGAAGTAGGTACAGATACTGCTCAACAAATGCTTATATCTATTCTTTCATCTTCGATATTATGGTGATTTCCTACAGATGCTGCACAACAAATGCTTATATCTATACTATCATCTTCGATATTATACTGATTTTCTCAAGATCCTGGTTATAATAATAATAATTATATTACTATCTTTTACAAACCTGGGTGAAAGGTAGAGATTCACTGCTCGCCGAGCAATTTTGGCAGACGCTCCTTTCCAGCAAAGAAATCGCAACTTTACGATGAGGCACGCAGTTCGGGGAAGTACATGAATCCCCGCAATTCGTCGAAAAGTCTTGGATACTTCCATTAGCATTGGCCGTACCTGTTTGGGTCAAGGGAATGCAATCATATATTAGCTGACTGTCAAAAACTGATTCATTACTTATTGTGGCAGCAATGGTCAACGAGAGAAAATTAACGACTGCTACATTGAATGGGGATTATTTATGACTAACTGAAAGGTTTAAGACAAAGATTACTTTCAAATCAGCTGCAAGAGATAAAAGACAATTCAGTATTGTTATGAGGCAACATCGAAAATGGAAACTTAGGTTTGTAAAAATTTAACTTATTTTGATGTCGCCAAGAAGCAAATTCAAAATGTTGTTCGCGGATACTGTTAAACAATTAGTCATACTTTTCTTAGAAATATTGACCAATCATACATCATCATTTTTTTATCAAAGTATCTTTTTAAGATATGGAAATGTTTTATCTCACCTGTCAAATGAGCATGTAATCTAAGCAAGATATGCTCGAAGCATTCGCTAGCGTCTGCCATCGAGCCAAGTCTAAATCTTGGATCTCCTCCATTTTGGTCAGTTTGTTTGTCAGCAGTGTTTGCACAATCGACACCATTGGAAGTACTTTTGGTGGTTGATAGAGATGAACTATGGCCAGCCAAAGCTCGTCTTAATGAATCCGGTGCCAACACTCGCTCGGCAGAATACTGAAGCTGGGAGAAGAGCTCCTGGAAAAAAAGAATATAAGGTTAGATGTGAACTAATAAAATAATATATTATCATTAGTCTCATAACTTTTTGATCAGTCTCTAATAATTAACTACGACTTTGAAGCTTAGTTACTATCAGACCTCCAAAAGGGTTTCTTAAGTGCGTGCCTGTGATATTGCAAAGGTATAACGGTAAACCGGCAATATTATTGATGCAAGTAGCCGCACACATTCACACCCATCTATGTCTTTTGGCTTCTCGTTTCTCTCGCAGACAAACTCAACTACCGAAGTCGTACTAATGGAGCGCGTCCGTTGAACTTCGACTTACAAAATGGATATGGATACAGTCAAGTTAGGTTTTATTGTAAAATTTCTTGTACCTATAAGCTTTCGGTTTTAGGACAAGTTTCTAATATTATGATTGTTGTGAAATTAGGGGATATTAATGTGTTGTTGTTAAATTTTACATTTGCCTAGATTTTAACATAAACAGAATGAAATTAGGGTTTTCATATGTAGCTCATCCTTTAAGTGAATTTATTTAAATATAGAATTTCGTGTACAGGACAGTCGAATATAGATCAAAAATTTTATAATAAGTCAGATTAGGTAGATAAAATCTGAGTACAACTCTGAAATACGTAACTAAATAAACCTCAATTAATTAATAGCACAATTTTCATAAAAGCTGTCCACGAAACTTAAAGGTACAATTCTCGGATAAAATTGTGGGAGTGTGGGGATCAAGCAGGCTAGTCATGGGAGAGAAAACAATTGGATTTGTCATTTTGATATTGTAATATTTTTATAATTAATAAATTTTATATATTTTTATACAAGTGGAGTTTATACTATCATATACATTACTACTCCCACAAAATAATTATGTGTTGCTGTCGATCTCTTCTGTGAAATCATAGTACGAGTTGGTAGTCAGAAACTGTCAAAAATCTATGTTTAGGCTGTTTTATCAAGCCTTTCACACTATGGGAAAAATTCTGCTGTAAAATAGTCCATTGTTATGGCAACACTATGATTTGCTACTTTTTTCATATAAAATGGTACTAAAAACTGTCAAAATGCTACGTTTTTGCTGTTGAAGATGTAAAACCTAACCTACGTCGAAGAAGTAAGTTAGATTATATGTTAAAAATCTTGATCGCATAGCAAAAAAGAGCGTTTTGACAGTTTTTAGTACCAAAAAGGAGCATAACACAGTGTTGCTATAACTTTGGTCTATTTTACGGCAGAATTGGCCCAATATGAGGCCTGTCTACTTCTAAAATCTAACTTCCAAATGTCACTTCAACCGTGTTTTAGTACGACTTCAACCGTGTTTTATCATGTGACAACAAAAATTTGCACTTGCAATTAGGAAAACAGTTATTTGACATTTGTTCGATTTGTAGTTTAAGTTTTAAAAGTGGATATAGTGCGAAAAACTCGATAGAATATCAAGCACATAGTTTTTTCGCAGTTCGTGACAACCAACTAATGCGATTATTACTATTTTTTCGCTAGAATTGGCTCCTAAGTCCATTTTTTATTAATTAAAGCCCCAAAAGTATAGCAGAAAATAGTTTTCAACCATCAAAATATTATAAAAGCTTCTAACGAATTAAGCTTCGCAAGCACTTCTTTCTTGTTTATTATATCATGAGTGTCATTTTGAATTTTAAATGCCTAGATATAATATGAGATATACTAGTGTATAATTACATAATTATATACTATTACTAGCATATGTGTTTTTTTTCATATTTTCAAAACACAAACTGAATAAAATGTAGACACATACAATTTTAAGAAATTATGCGAAAAATCTCATCTTTAAATATAATCTGTAAGTAAACATCATCTTTCGCCTTACATTGATTATGGCAGTAGTACAAATAGAAAAAACTGGTTTCCGATATAAATTTTTGCAAAATAATAATCATTAAATATCTGTTTGAAACAAGTGTGTATTTAAGACATTATTATACAAATCAAATAGCAAAAACTGACAAATATTTCGTGTTGTACTTTGATCTTGTACGACTATAAAATTTACGCTTCATAGTCATTGAACTTTGAATTTTCTCCAATGACTTGGCAAAATAATAATTAACGGTGACACTTAAAGTAATAAAAATGATATTATGTATTAGGTTAACAGTAATCTAATAAAGTTAAATTCCGGTTAATTGAATTGTAATAAATCATTTTTTTTAAATAGATTCTAATCAAATGCCTTACATTCGGATAAGATTCTGGTGATAATACAAATTTGTGTTTCTATTATGAAACATTGCCAAAGCCACGTAGAAGCGAATGCATGTAATACTTTCTGAACGAAAATATTTAGGTTACGAGCCGATGTAATAATAAAAAACTTTTTTCGTGTCATGCGTAAAAAAATTAAAAGTTCTCTCTTTAAAACCTGATTTAAGTGTCGTGGACCGAAAGCGTTTGACCCGGGATTTTAAAAACGATGCATTTTAATAATGATATATAAATGATCCAGATTTTTCATTCGAGATTGATAAGTAATATTTTATAATGCTTTTGAAATTATTTGAAGCAGTATAGTTTCTTATTAAAATAATTTTATTGAAGGAAAATAAGGATTGATAAGGACAAATTCTCACTAAAATCAGATGGACCAAAATTACAAAAATATTTAGAAAAATTAAGAGAAAAATGTGAAAATAAAAATACATTATCATTAATTAATATTAGAACGAAGAGGTAACATACTCTTGTATTTTGCTTCAAAATCATCTCACCCAATTGGTTCTCTCACCATATCACCGATCTTTTGTTCATCTCACCAATCTTTTAAACATTCATTATGAACACTTTTCAATAAAACTTACCACTAACTTTCTACAGCAAACTTTACAAAAAAAATTATTACCCATAAATTTCAAATATTTTTAGTCTTCTTATCATAGAAAAATCTTGCATATTTCTCTATTATTATCAATAAACTTATGAGTTCTTGAAGATATATTACAAATATTTATCATCGTTGTATTGTTGTTCACAACTTTGTGATCATCTGTCATTTTTTAATGACATTTTCTACGGTGATTACTGGCACAGGAATGTATACGCATGGTCATATAACATTGTATACGTATTCTTTATAATATATATATATATATATATATATATATATATATATATATATATAAAAAAATGAATAAGATACTCAGAAATTCTATTGTAATCATTTTTATCATATATAGATATACATACACACATCTTCTCTGCATAAAACTGTATGTGATATTGCTAATATTACATGCATGCATTAATGTTCTTAAAATCAGAGCCGCATTTGGAAGATATAGAGATTATTCGCGATTACTAATATAATATTAGTAACTTTATTGAGATACATTCAGATAATCAACTAATTCATTACTATATTATTCCATTCCATGCCAATATAATGACACTTTTTTTTAAACAGTGATCAGGATCTGGCATTCTAAAATTTGTTGTGATGATTATAGTTTTTTTGTGACGATTATTTTTCATCAAACCAAAGAAAAAGTTCAAGGCAACCCAATGGTAATCAACACATTTTTCATCCTATTTTTGACTCGATTTGCTATTACTTACTTTGCTATTACTACTCCCAAAGCCTATTCTATTTTCAATATGTTTGCTATTAGGAGTCAGCCAACTGATTTTCCTTTTTCAATTCGTATAATAATTTCAACCTTTTGCAGAAATGCCCATAAGGTCGTTAAAAAAAACTTGAAAAAAAAATTAACCCTTTTCTTCTAACAATATTTATAGATATTAGAAAAAGTTCTTTTATAGGCTACCCCAGTAATAATATTATCTTATATAAATACATATAATGCTATGGATATCATCTCAGTAGGTGATTCTCAAAAACTAATCTTAAAATTGTTTTTTTTTAAATATATGCTTGCAAAACATAGTTCACGTAATTTTAATTATTTCTTAAGATTTTATGAAACTAACTGTATGACTATTTATACTATTTAGAAAAAAATGTAGTAAGGCAATTTGACATCTTTATATTTATATACAATTTATGAGTTCAACATTTACTTTGACGTTATCTAAGCAAAGTTGATATTTATTTTAATTTAACTTGTTATGAGTTAAATTTATTGTGAATCCTAATTTGTTATTTTAAGTTTGTTAATTTGTTATTATATGTAGTGTGTTGATTTTTAATTTTTAAACACACTTTTACTGATAATATTGGAAAATCTTAAAATAAGTTGTTTAATAGATATTTGGGCGGCTTGCTAGCTTGTACAGTAGTGTCAATTCTGTGAAAAACACTCTCTTAACGGATATATAAATTATAGATATTTTAATAAATTTCAATAAATGTAATAATACTGATATTATATATACATATTAGGGTGGTCTTAATATGGACTTTTTTGAATTTTCTTGCTCCCAAATGCTCTTAATATAGTCTTTTAGATAGTGCGCAATTCTATCAAAGTTTTGTATGGAAATAGCATAAAAAAATTTTCAAAATTTAAAAAATGTTTTTTAAATATAACTTCAATCAATTTGTGGAGATAATTGTTTCACATTTTTTATGTTTAAACATCTGTACAACCGCCTAGTTTTTATTATGGCTATGGCAGACAATCAAAAAAATTGGCGTTTGGGATCTACATATATATGAACTAGTTACTTTATGATATTATATATAAAAAGTATATCATCTTCATTCTTTAGTTCGTCTCTGTGAATGCATTAGAATATGAATACGTGTTAATCCATGGTATTTTCTTAGCAGCTAAGTAGATATTAATCATATAGGAAGGTGCAACGAAGGAATGTGGCTGGCAACGCTCCTATTTTTTATGCTTAAAGATTTTTTGTTTGTATAGTACTAAGAATACTGAGAAACTTGTAAAGAAATGGTATAAATTTCATATCTATTCATAACATTTGATTTATAAGATTTACTTATATATTCTATATACATTTTAATTCAGCTCATTATGAACTATTATTACATAGAA